AATCATATTATGATTCTCATCATTTGAGGTTGAGAAATATGATCTATCTGTTAGTATCAAGAGTGACAATACAAAAAAAAATCATAATTTTAGAGTTATCTGGCAAAACTGTTTGGAAGCTGGTACATTTTTTTATGTACAGTTTGGGACAATGTATAAGATAATATGTGAAGTAAAATACATTGTGTTTAGTTAAAGTTGTCTTTGTTAAGCGCATTTATTGTTTCTTTTCCTGTGACATAACTAGACAGGATTTGATTATGACATTACATGTAAGCTTTTGTTTTGAAACATATATTTTTCACTGGAACAAAATGCAATTCATCAACAAGCAGAGATATTCTTCTAATTCCTGAGTAACTTGCACACTATTATGTTTGAAAGTGACTGTAAATTTCCTTTCTTTTGTTGTTTTCTTATATATTTTAACTAATTTGTTATTGCACATCTCTAAAAAACTGCACTTGTAATAAACCACAGTACTACTAGTCACTCATCATATCTTTAACATGATGTACAATTCCAGCTTCCAACTTGTTATCACTTGAAAGTCCTTTGACTTATGCTTGCTTCTGTGGAAAATTTTGTTCTCTCATATATTTCTATGTTGAGATGAGCTTTATTGTTGAAAGTTTGGTAAGAAATTTCTAGATATCATTAAACACTTGCTCTAAGTCTTCATCTCAGAATTGGAACAGGAAAGTTTGTTTTCTGGATATTTATTTCAAACAGAGAATGCAACATTCAAAACTGAGTGTACATTATACAGAATTTTCATCTTTGTACTATCATTTTGTATTCAAAGATCCAACATTATATAAACTCTTATCCTTTAGGCTCTTACTAGAAAAGAATTTATTCATTTCTCCTATATAACAGATACCTATAGATTTAGAACAAATAGAATCATTGCTACTGATCATAGCACCCTTCTTCAATTGGTCATGAAATTCATCTCAATGTACAAATCTATGAGATGATAAAACTTTCTGTTACAGCTAACACATGCCAACAGACTATCAATGCTGACATATAAGTTGATCTCAAGATTTTTAGCTCAAAATCATAGTTTAAACCTACATCAGTCATAAATTTACTTTTAAATATATGGTAGACTATCAGTAGTTTGGAACTAAAATGTGGATGTTGAATTGTAATTTAAATAAGCAGAATTCACTTTTAATTAGAATTAATTAGAATTATTCATACTGATAAAATATAAATTAATTTTTGCCATTATAGTACAGTAAAATCTGACTAAAATAGGAACTATTTGTGAGCAAATTTTTCAGAATGGAGTGATTTTCTATGTTAAATCTTATTATAGGCTAGAAATTTGTCTAATGTGGAAATGGAAGAAGTTTCTGGATATAAAGAACATTAACTTAACATAAAACTTAACATGGATAAGACAGAAAATTAAAGTTTCACTTGCAGACAAATAAGTAAAATCATTTCCAGGTATAATCACAGAGCAAGAAAAACAGTATTCGAAGAACAGAAGTGAACTCTGCTAATGTGGATCATGTTTCCTACAATTATGTAAAGGACAAGAAGGAAAACTACAAGAATATTTTTATTTGTGTTTTTTATAATATGTTTTAAAAACGTATTTGAAGAACAATTTCAAACTTGTCAGTGAAATGAAGGTTGTGACAAGGGAACATATAGACACAAGATTTTTGTTAATATTAGTCTTTATTGGAATTAATCATGAAAAGAATCAGATAACTTTAAGAATTGAATGAGTTCTTGAGAACAAGCAATGAATGTGGTTCATGAAAACAATGGGTGCATTTACTTTATGCTAGCTTCCAAGCTCGCCGAGCTGACACCTAGTGCAGCCTGATGTCATACTAGCATGCTCATAAAAGTATACACAGTAATGGATGCTGCCATCTTTGAACAAACTCCAAGCTCGTTGTAAATTCTCTGAGCATGCCAAGAGTGCTAGAAATGCTAGCAATGACGTCACAGGTGCAAAAAGTAAACGCCATGCTCATTGGTAGCTAACAAAAAGTATACAGGCTGAGTGTGCTAGGGGCGAAATTGGAGCTAAAAGTAAATGCACCCAAGTTTGCCTTGAATGGAATAGTTAGTAAGTAACTAGTACTAACTAATTGCAAACAAGTTGATTAGCATGTTTAAATACCTTTGTCAACTGCTTTATCATGAAATAAAAAAAATGTTCCATTTATATTTCATGCTTATGTTCTTATTATATACAAAGATATTCCACATAATAATTGAATCATCTTGTATGTTGTTGTTGCCATAGATAAACCTTTAGCAGTGAAGTTAAAATTTTTCCACGGTATCAATAGTGAGAGGCAGGATCTCGTGTGTGTGTATATATACATATATATATATATATATATTATTACATACTGTATTGGGTTAATAATAATAACTCAGTTAAAAGATCTAACTATAATGTGTATATATACATATATAAATTTATACAGCTTATTACATACTGTATTGGGTTAATAATAATAACTCAGTTAAAAGTTCTGTCTATTTTGCAAATACATTTAGTGGGTACTTGATTATCCGGAACTTCAGATTATCCAAAACGGTTTAAAATAGCATAACGTTATTCTGTACCTACTTCAGAGACCAAACTCTCCATGCAACTGAAAATCATTACATCTGTCGAGTGTAGTGCTGCGAAACTAAGTCGCATACGTAACATTATGTTAGATTTTGAGTAAATTAATTTACCTTCAAATACAGCAATTACATTACAGTATTTATAGTTCATGGAACTTTAAAGGTACAGTTCTTGATTTTGTTCCTAAAACACAAGTACAAAAGAATTTTTGGATTATCCAAAATATTGTTTTCCATTATGAAAAATGTATTATATGTATTTATTTACTTATTTGTAATTGAAAACTGTTTTCTTCAAAGAAAATTAATTTACATTTAAAATATACATATATATATTTTAAATTCACAACAAAACATTTAGTGTTTTTGAATACATTTCAGTCATTTGAACACAGAATATATATATGTGTGTGTGTGTGTATATATATATATATATACATATCTACACACACATATATTCTGTATTCAAATGGATTCAGTAATTGAATTTGTTTTAGTAAATTGAAATAATAAACAAAACTATAACGTCTAAATTGTGAAGTAGTTCGAATTTTATTCTAACTGTAGATAAAAAACACACAGTAAAATAAAAATGCTCTTCTCCGTTTTCTATCACTTTTCAAATACCAACTAAATAGAGTAAATAAAATTGTAAAGCTACTTCTGTGCAGGCATTCAATACTACTGCTAAAATTCATTTTTTTAGTATTGAACCGAAGTAATAAGAAATGATAGAACGATACAAGAAGCAAAATGGAATGATCTGTGTAAATTCCCGTAATTTTTTTAGAAAGATCCGCAAAGACTTATTTCAAAATTTTAACAATTACCAGGTGATAACCAAAGAACTTGTTTTCGAAAAAGTCGTTATGAAACAGTTTCTCGTTTATTGAAAGGTTCAACGACCAGTTTTTTAAAAATTNTCTGTATATATACATATATATATATATATATATACACACACGCGAGATTCTTCCTCTATACATATATATATCATGCATAATTATGCATATGAACTCGCACAGTAGCATCAGTCAACTGATTGGAATCCGGGATTGTGTATTAAAAACATTTTTTACACAGTTAAAATAATTTTAAGGTAAACAATGAAGGTAGGATGCCATTTCAAAATTACAAAACTTACTTTTGTTAACTGTTTGCATCCTCTATTGAGTACAAGTCAGATAAAATAAAGAGTGGGGGCTGACATCATTTATGGTGTTGAATCTATATAAACCAGACCTGTTTTACTGCTTGCTTTTGCGTTATTTCAATTATTCAGCTAATCCAAACAGGGCTCAGTCCCAATTAGTTTGGACTAGCATGACTCTACTGTATTGCATCTTACCGATATCATTTTCATTTTTTCAATTTATCATTATCCTTGAGAATGATGTAAAACAGAAATTAATAATTTTTATGTAAAGATTGAATGAGAAAAATTCAAATCTAGATTGAATTAAAATTTTAAAATTTGATTAATTATTTTGTCTGCTTTTTAAGGCATTTTTAAAAACATATTTTCTTACAGTTTTCTAACTGTTAATATTAAAAATGGAGTACAGAATGTTTGTACTATGTAATTATTAATAATAATTTAACTTCAGTAAGTAATTCATTACAATTTTTTATGTTTGTTGTACCTAAAATTTGTGTTTAAAAGCTATAATTCTATAAAAAAATTTTGACAGAGTTCAATCTCAAATTTGACTCCTTTAGTAATCAAATTTACCAACTATGTTAACAAAATTAATAATAAATAACTGTTTTAAATTAATTTTGAAGACTAATCATTAATTTTTAATTTTGCAGTTGTTGAATCAAAACATTCAAATTAAAATATAAATCTATTGAAATTTATTGAATATAATTCATACCAAAGATTTAAAGAATAACATCTGTACTTAAATATTAATTTAAGAACATTTTCCAAAAAAAATTTAAGATAGCAATCATTAAAATTTCTTTGTTTCCTAGTTAACTATTATAATTTCTAGTCCCAAATTTTTTAAAAGGAAAATTTAAGAACTTCACTCTATTTTGCTTGTGTTAAAGCTTAAAAATATACTATTAACATATAATAAAGAATTAAATTTCGGGAACAAAAGAATATTTTTTTGTTTAAAATATTCTTTTAGACCTTAACAAAATTCTTAACATGCAGTGATTTTGCATTAAATTCTGTAATTAAAGCCAGAAGTTTGGACTAGAATCTTTTAAAGCTGTCTGAGTATTTTGATTAACTTTATGGAGTTTGATTTGTGGTTAAATACGTTTAGTTAGTTAGTTAATTATTATTATTATTATTATTATTTTAATACTATATTTTATTGAAAATAAATAAATAATTTCAAGCTTTTAATTTATTGTTAATTAAAATTTCTTAGCTCCAGAATTAGATTCTGCACGATCAAAACTTGATGGAGTACTGCAACATTTAATGGAAAGAACAGATGAAAGGTGAAATTTTGAAGTGTTTGTTTTTAAATTTATCGAAATGGATGATTGTCCAAAGTGAACAATGCTATAATTTAACATTCTTTGATTTTGCAAACAACTCAGAAATTTAGTATTTTTTAAAGGAATGATTTGATATTTAATAAAAATATTTACTTCTATTGAGTTTAGAAACAGATGAGTAGAAAGACAATAGGGAGGTTGCGGCCGATGTTTTCATCGCGAAAACGTGTAAGTCAGACGTTCAGCGCCGCCTTCCTGTAAGCCTAGAAGTTTGACAATGGCGTTTAGTACGTCGAGCATGATTCCACTGACGTTCCAAACGCCATTGTCAAACTAATAGGCTTACAGGAAGGCGGCGCTGAACGTCTGACGTACACGTTTTCGCGATGAAAACGTCGGCCGCAACCTCTCTAATAATTATAAATAAATAAATATTTTGAAGAAAAAGATATCTGGAATGTTTGAAAATGTAAATTACTATAATTGTGCATTGAAAAGAGTACGCAACCTTATAATCTTATATTTACTTTCATAAATTAAATTATTTGAAAGTATCTTATGAAAAAAAATAGACTAATTAATTTGTTTTAAATAGGTAAAAAGTTTATAAAAAGAAATCATTTAAAGGAAAGTTTTTAATTTTTAAATATTAAAACTGTTTTAGATGGTACAGGAAACGTATGCATGATATTATTCATCACTATTCATAAACAATACATGAAAACAAACAGAATAGGTAAATTAATTTTTAAAGTTTTCATTAAAACAAATTAAAAGTAGTGCAGGTTTTTATTTTTTATGTGCAGATCAGTTTACTAATATCCAATCAATAGTAACATGTGGTCATCTTTTAGTTCAAATAATGAAGAACATTGCCTATAACTAACAATAAACAGAAAATTTATATAGAGATATACTTCAAACTATAAACTTTGTTGCTGTCTTTTTACCTAACTAAAACATGTATTTAGTTTTTAATTATTTGATTGCAACATTTTATATTAATGCTGCTTTTTTTGAAGATATAAATTATGTTCAAAATGCTATCAAACTTTTGAACATATAATCATAAGTTCAAGAGTAATTAGTTTGAAATGATTTATACACAGATCTGCATAACTTATGACATTAATGAAATTATTTCTTAAAACCATTATCATATATAATCGTCAATATATAATTAGTTCTTTTATTGAGAGCATCATTTTTATGTTTTGGACTTGATTTATGTATTTGTTTTTCTTTCTTAGAACTGAAACTTGAAAAATAATTAAAAGATATTTATATTTTTGGAATTCTGTTCTATACATTTGTATAATTTGCTTAAACCAATAAGGAGAAAATATATTCCATATATAATTTTAATGAAAAAGTTTTAAAAAAGGTTTTTTTTTTTATGACTTCTTGCATTATTATTATTCTCATGAACATGTAACAGATGAAATACAAATCAAAACAACTTTATATTTTAAAATATCTCAACAATAATTTCAGAATGTTAGTTTTCAAATGTCTAACTTATTCGTGAAATTTAAACTAAACCATATTAATCTTAATTTATATTATTAATGAATAAAAATAAATATTTTAATTAAATGACAGAATACACAAACTAATAATTATATTGAACATAAAAACATGAATTTTGATTCATTTTCTTTCCAGAATGAACATGTTTTTCATACTTATTATTCTGACTCATATTTTTTGATAAATGTCAACTCAACACATCAACAGACTATGAAGTGACTTGACCTATTTTCTTTAGTATGTCATAAGATTTCAGTTACTTGTTAAAGTCAACTAATATAATATATAATATTTTTAAGTTAGATTTTCGAATCATTCACATACATATTAATTAAGTCAAATTAACCATTATAAATGAATTATCCGTGCTCGTATGTTCATAATTTGGATATAATCAAACTAATAATAATTAGAGAAATTATTTTCTAGAAGTAGACCTATCTATGTTAATTTTTAATAATTAGTTTACTTAATTAAAAATTTAAAAATCTAGAGAAAGCATGTCCCAGTACAAGTTTAGTTATGTAAAGTTAATTTTCCACTTACATTTACTATGAAAATGCATTAAAACTGTTATAGCACATACATAATCTGACTTCAAGTCTGGCTTTGGAATGTTATTTTATTATATGTATTTATTATTAAATATATTTTAGTGCATTTCTGATATACTCATTTGTTTTAATTAATAAATAAATAAATTAATTTATTTATTTATTGGGTAATTAGATTGATATTTTAAAATTCAGTTAATATATTCTAATTATATATTGAAAATCTCTGCATTTGTATAATAGTTTTTTTTATTATCATAAGCGAAGAATAGTATGCTTACATTAAATTTTGTTAACAAAACAATTGAGATGTGTTTAATTTTATTTGTATTAAAACTATACAAAGGACACATTGCCTGGTAAAGTGGCTTTAATACAGCTAGACAAGAATGCTGTTGACATAATTTTTTTCATTTGAGGTGCACTGTCATTGGTGTGTTCATCTAGCTGTATTAAAATTGTCTTTCCAGATAATGTGCCCAAAGAAAAATATTGATTATCAATCTTCTGAACTTTATATACTTGGTAAAATGACAAAATTTAATGTTAATATCTGTATTTTGATCATTATATCTATAGATGTTAGAAAATATTTGCTGCTTTTGAATTGAAAAAATACTATATTTAAAATGGATTTAATTGATTTATTGTATATATAATTTATTCCTGATTGCAGTAACACAGTTTGTTTAATTTGCATATCCTGAGAGAGCACTACAAATAATACTGATGAGAATTTCAAGATGTTGAATTCTTGAGCATATTGCATGAGGAAAGAGCCAAATTTAGCCTTTTCTTCTATATTATTAACTTAAATTTTGTTATATTATTTGAAAAGCATTGCTTTAAATTATCCATTGTTAAATTTAGAAAATTTATGATTACTTACTGTATAATAATTAGACTGTCTTGGTAATCTTTGGTTTGCCAATGCCCTTGCACCAAAATACAGTGAAGTGTCAAAAATCTGAACAAATTGGAGCTGGACCCCATCTGGATTTTCAAATATACAATATTTTAAGTACTGTAAACTTCAAATACACTAATTCAAGACAGTATATCCTAAGAAATGTAGGAATACTTACAAAGATTCAAAATATAAGTTATTGAATCACTATTTTTAAACAAAAATACATTGATCATAATTTCAAAATTAAAAAGCTATTGAATAAATGTTAGAATATCAACAATGCAAGGCTGAAAGAACATCAAAACCATTACCATTGAAAAGGTTATTATCCATTTTTCAATGGCCTTTCCATCATGCATGTATAATTTTTTTCATGGAATCACTCTTATCACATTAATATTTCAATTAATATATTTGGCAAGATTACAAAATTAAGCCCAAACTAATGAATGGAATTTAAAATATCCTAATGTAATTTGAAATGTAATAAATTAATATATTTCATCGGTAAGTAAAGCCATCTCAAAATAAACTATAAATAATACTTTTAAGAATTTTATAATTCTTGAAAGTATTATTTAAAAATTTGCATTTAGCTTTTTAATCTCTGAAAAAATTTTTTTTTTCCTCTGTACCTGGAGACAACATTCTTACCCATCAGGCTACAAAAATATAGCAAAACTAGTCAAGCAACTTTGTTTGACTGGTTTTGTTATACTTTCCCTTCTATACTTGTTTGACTGGTTTTGCTATTCACGTTTTTCATGAACTATAGAGGGAGCTGCATTTTTACAAAATGGCTACTTTATCTGGGTTGCTTGTAATTAGTTTTGTAAAATTAATCATATATTACTGTCCGATATAATGATATATGCTGCCTGTAGCTGTTTATCGAGAAATTTTATAGAAGGAGAACAATTATTGTTAGCAGGACACGTCATTATGTGGTATCGAAACAAATGAGTGAGATCGTTCTATACATATTTGTGCCCTTTGTGTTAAAAAACATCAAGTTTGACATTGTCCCATCAGAGCCGGATTTACAAGTAAAAGGCCTCGACTTTCGAGGGACCTCAAACATTTGTACAAAAAAGAAAATTGAAGTCAGATTTTGTAATAAGCATTTTTTTACAAACCAACAAAATATACTTCACTGTTTATTTTGTGTAGTATTTCATTAATTTTTTTCTAAGAATTAACATAAGATCTTTTTTAAAAAAATTGATAAAACCAATTTAAAAAAAAATTTTTTTAATGGAATGGGTATAAAAATTTAATTAAACTTAGTTATAAAACAGAAGACAAGTAAAACCTCACGTCTTTTTCTTCCAATATCCGTATTAAATCAGAGTCATAGTCTGATTTAATTCTTTTCTTTTTATGATTGACTTCTAAAATTGTGAAGGGTTGGTAAAGGGCCTTACAGAGTTCAGCTTAGCGTTTCGAAATGCTTAAATCCAGCCCTATGTCCTACACAAAATTACTGGCATTTTAAACTTTAACAAAATGTTTTAAAATTGACAGCATAACTTGTTCGTGAAAGCTGGACAATCGGGAAACTGCCAATTCTTAACAGTCTAATCCACTCTTTCAGAATTCAGAGCTCATAAATATAACTGATCAATGTCCGAATAATCATCTGTTTTTTCTGTTTTTCGTGTGGGAATAGACGAAAACTTATATCAGGCTCTCGTAAGGCTTTGAAATTGCAATTTGGACCAACAGTAAGCGTTGCTTTTTCTATTGCTTTTCATCTTTACTGCTGATAATAGACAAGAATGAATCAAACGACCCAGATAGAATAGTTTTATTTTTAAACACCAGAGGGCAAGCATCCGGTGAAAAATGCGAATACTTGGACTAAATTTGGTTAGTTTAAGTTAGTCCTGTTTGTAAGTTAGATTAGGGGCTCTTAGCTTGAATTTCTGGTTAGGTTTGTCCTAGGTTATTCTAGGTTAGTTTAGTTAGCGAGTAAGTTAATGTTTAAAAAATAAAATAAAATAAAT